GGGAGTGTTTTGGGCAGCTTTGTGTTTTATTGTTTAAAAGTTTCACAGATGAAGGTAGTCATGCAGCATCCATGTGACATTCATCTAGTAAATCAGTAGGGGGCATCAAAATAAAATGCCTTTAAGAGGCAGAAAGAGAGACGTATCTTTACATTTTTATTAGGCAACAAGACTGCGTAGGCAAGGTTAGGGAGATGGTGACCATATAGGTGTAAGTAACTAAGTACAAGTACTTTGTTTCTGTTACTTGTTTGTTAGTAATTTTTTCAGGTATCTCAGGTATTTACTTGAGGTAACTCAAGTAAAGAACTACTAATAATATTTATGTTTTACCCCCTACATTTTTTCACAAATATCTGTACTTTCTACTTCATACACTTTCAAAACAGGCGTGTTACTTGTTACTGTTAAAAGCATTTGAGGAGAAATAGCGATTTTTATTTTTATTTTGCATCATTGCACACCTTACAAACATCAAGACCGATTGATATTACGACAGTAACATGACAGAACAACAAAAACAACATAAAAGACATAGAGGACATAGAGGTGAGGGAGACTCGACCATGTTTGGTTCATTTAGCTCAGAAACAGCCGGTACAAATGTCCTTCAGAGAAACCAACAGTACTTTTTACTTTTATTAATACATTTCAGAGCCTGTACTCACTTCTACTTGAGTAAAGAATTGTGTACTTTTCCTACCTCTGATAGTTAAAGGTCCAGTGTGTAACACTCAGAAGGATCCAGTGGCAGAAATGAAATACAATATTCAAAGGTATGTATCACCTGAACATAAGAATTGTGTTTTTGTTACCTTAGAATGAGGCGTTTACTGTGTATGTAAAGACGCTGAGCTTCGCCTTCCATGGAGTCCGCCATGTTGAACCTCCATGTTTTTACAGTAGCCGGACGAGAACAGACAAACCAAATTCTGGCTCTAGAATAGGGCCTTTTGAAATTTTCATGTGTTTCATGGCTTCCAAATTTCTCCCTTCACACCTGGAAGGGAGGGGAGGTAAAGTGAAGGAGTTGCTATCTGCAACTACACTCTAGATGCCACTAAATCGCTGACACACTGGACCTTTGAAAAAAACACAGACTGCAGGTACACTTTGTTTGCTAGACCTCCCTAAATGTCCTGATATACTCCAAAAACGGACAGGGATAAGACAGTAGGGCAGGGCAGGACAGGGCGTTTAGCTATGTGGATGTTCATACATATGCAGTCATTTGCTGTTGGGATAGGAGGTGTGAAAAACCCCATTGAGTTTAGTTCAAATACAACACAGATCAGGAGTTTGCAAACATCAGCTACAAGCAGCACATCAGAGCTGCTGTATCAGTTGTGTCAAGAGAACACATTAAAGTTGTCCCTATTCTCCTCGGCTGTATGTGTTCAATCTGCAAATGATTATCTCCTGCATCTCAACAGCACGGCTGCTGGCTGCACTGCTACGGTACCTGCTATTTCTAATGCTGCTGCCTTAGCCATCAAAACAGCCAAGTGTTACCAAGGAAACAATCTACAGGCGGTAATATAAAACACACAGTAAGTGCTCTGGACATAGTGTATACACTCTGAGTCACTGTGTCTGTCACATGTACAGAGACTTATTCTTTAAAACAGAGTGAGGCAGATAATGTTTTATCGTTAAAATAGCATCAGATCTGCAGCTGGCAGCGTCTGCACTAATGACAGTGTAAACCAGAGAAAGCAGCTTCTACTCTTCCTCCACTGTGCCATTACAGTAGAATGAGTATTGAGCTGCAGTGGAAGTGAGTCCTGTGCGTGGGTGAGAGGCGCTGCTGATGATTCTGCAGCTGGTCCTTTCCCCGCATTCTCTTTTTATAGCCAAACTGCTCATTTGTGTCTCTTTGACGTCACACACACACACACACAACACACACCCACACACACACACACACACAGAGAGAAAGAGAGAGAGACATCGAGCCCAGCAGATCTGTTCAGCCTCTCTCCCTCGGTGATTCATATATAATTAGTCAGAGTAGCGGTGCAATTCTCCTGCTGTCTGTCTCGGTTATTGTCTGTCAAATTCTCACACCTTGGCCTCTAGTCTGAAGGCGGTAAACGCTCACAGGTTTGACACACAGCGGCGTTCCAGCTGGCTCAAAAAGGTGTGGCTAATTAAAAATAATGAGCCGTGGTGGGTTGCATATATATTAACCATAGATTATGAGCTACAGACATCATAGAGCTGCATCACAGCTTAACATGCCGTTATTATAAGGAAAGTTTCAGTTCAGCAGCCAGGTTGAGAGCCAGCATTAGAAAAGTTAAAACAAAAGAGCTAATAGAACAATGAGAAGTAAACAAAAAAGCCTATTAAGTATGTATGATTGTAAAAAAAAAACAAAAAAAAAAACAGTTAATTAATTAACAAATACATAATACAGACAGAGAAGGTTCTAAAATGTCAGGAAAAGTTATCTCTGATCAATATTCCCAGGAAATAATCTGCTCAAAATTCATCCAAATTGCTATTATACATAAACTTCCTACAGTTAGTGTTCACTATTTACAGTTTATCAGTGGTTCTGTACTGTTAATATTATGCATTAAATATAATGTGAAATATCCATAGAATATGTCACTGAGTCAGATTCAAATACTCATCAGTTACTTAAAATATATTATTTCTTACTGTGATAAACTATAAATATATTTTATGATATAACATGTAATATATATCATAATATATTATATAATATAATATAACAACATTACATAATGTAGCATAACAATGTGTCATCATATATGTTATAGTATGTTATGTTATACATCATATCTATATAGCTATATCATAATATATATTATAACATAATATAGTATAAAAATATAACATCATTTATCTAATATAATGTAATATAATAACGTACAATTACATAATATAGCATAATATAACATAATATAATATAACATAAAAAAATTCTTATATGGTATCAGTATTTGTAATTGTTCTATTTGTAAAGTATCTTTCTCACTTTGTTGTAATTTAACAGGACGTTGGTGGCCATGTCTGACTGAAACAAAAACAGTTATTATAAGAAAGTAGTTATTAGTCAATTGCACCAATTAACCGCCCTCAGACTGTAGGCCTCTGCAGTGTCTCCTTTTTTTAAATTCCTTTCACTGGCTGTAGTCTCTGTATTGTGTTTGTATGATTTATCTGTGTGAAATAGCATCTCTACATACAAGCTTGAACATGTCTACACAGAAAGTGGTATTACTGTGAGGACAAAGACCTCACTGTGAACACATTTTAAAGAAACTAGTTCTGTAGAAAGTCATTTTGTTACTGTTGAATTTTTAAACATTATTGTATTATATGTAGTGAGCAGCACTCCGCTCACTTCTATCGTACTGGGGTGGAAGCAGAACTCTGAGATAGATCTCTGAAAAGGGACTCATAACTGTCTATCTGACTGGTCAGATACCACTTGAGGGAAGTGACATTATATTTTTGTTATTTGGGTGACCCAGCCCTTTAAGAATCTTCTGGATAACATGTTTTTGCCTCAAGTTTAATTCTAGAAACCACTGTTAAAACATTGCTGCTGTATCTTTATGTTATGGTGCATTTACATGGAATTGGGCAGATTTACATCGCTTTCTGGACGCCACGGGAAAAACGAAAGAAACGGTCCGACAGAATGGTAGGATGGCAAAACAAAGCACGCATGACGATATGCTTGCTATGGTGGTAGCTATCCTTTACAAGAATGGAATAAAATTCATTATTTTGTATATATTACTCTATGTAATGTATTCATCATTAGCAACTTGTTGTCTCGATTTTTCTGGGTCATAGTTTGTTTTCTGGGTTAGTGTGTGTTTTCTCTTTGTGTGAGGGAGTTAATATAACATCCGGTTTTAAATTCCATCAAAGAGGACGGCCAAAAGTTATAATATTTTAACTTTGGACAGCAGTTAATGTTGCCGGTATTCCCTGCCAGCCTCACTTAATTTTACCGTCCTACTCTCATCCACTAACATGACATCCAGTTTGCGGTATGCCTGAATCCATGTGAATGCAGCATTTATTTGTCAATTTAGATAAGTTTATTCATTTATTTTTTTTGTTATTTATATATACCCTAACCCTTTGTGTAGTCAGTAACACTTTGTTTGCATAGTCCGTCTACAAATAGTTAAGATTTCAGCAGCTTATTGCAGTTTTTTTTTTTATAATATAAATTGTAGATCTACTGGTAAACTATATGACCGTTTATGAGCAAGTGCCAAGCTGTATTGTTAAGAAAAATGATTGGAACCCTGATTTGTGTTAATTATCACAACTACCTGGAGGGACTGTGGTTAAGGCTTAGTTAGGTTTAGGCACAATGTTCATGAATTGTCACACATACACTCACCTATGTTACTGTTATTAGTCTGTATATGGAAAATCCACAGACAAAGTGAAACAGTTGAAATGTTATGATTACTCTATCTGTTGGCGGACTATCCACAGTGTTACCCAGTTAATGCCAGTAAAACATATCTCACCCCATATAACAAGACCCTCAGGCTAGATCAGTGCGGACACATACTGTAAACACACACATTACACACACTCTCCTGTGCTGTATGGACACAGTCTTGAACTGAGCTGACTCCTGGAAAGCAGATGTATGATCTAGCCAGAGAGAAATTTCAGGCCGACCTAAGCAGACCAATACACATACTGTTCCATGCTAATTAGCCCACAGACTGTGGCACAGCAGTGTGGGAGCTGTGTGTGGATGCATGTGTGTCAGAGAGGGGTGGATTAAGAAAAATGCCAGCCATCAGTTTAGTTCAGTGTGTGTGTTTGGCTGCTAGATCTCGCTCTGTGTTGTGCTGCATGTTAGCTGTGTGTTTCTAGATTCCATGTACCACCAGGACAGTTTAGTTAGCCAGTTTGGTGGCTGGGACTCAGACAGCAGTAGAGCAGATCCTCCTGACAGTGTCTCTCTGTCCTCTCCGCCCGTCTGGCAGGTACCTCAGGACGAGTGGAGCGGCTTCTCTCCCCTTGGGAAGGAAGATGACATCCCCTGTCGGAGGATGAGGAGTGGCAGCTACGTCAAAGCCATGGCCGAGGACGACAGTGGAGACTCTGACGGGAGTCCCAAACCCTCCCCCAAGGTCCAGGCACGCCGGGCCAGCTACCTGAAAGCCACACAACCATCACTAACTGAGATGACCACTCTACAGTAAGATTCTCACTTCTTTTCACATTATGTGGTAGCATGAATCTTGTCAATCAAGTTTTTCTCTTTCTATTCTTACCCTTCCTTCAGTTTTGAATAAGGCTCAGAATCAGAATCAGAATCAGAATCAGAAATACTATAATAATTCCCGGGGGGAAATTACTCAGGATTAAAACAGTAAAAATGTTCACATTAGAAACCGCCTTTTATGACCTTTGAGAGTTTCCACTGACATAGTTTATGTATGGAAACCAATTTCTGCCAATGTGATGGATAAAAAACTTAAAAAAAAAAATTGGCTTTGCACTGTGACCATCAACATATATAAAGATAGATGTTGGGTCTCGACTTTCTCCCACAGTGAAAGTGAAGTAATGATCGGGGTTAGCGCCACAGTATCAAACTCCCACCCATACGCCAGGCCGACTCAATCGCAAGCAGAGCTCAGCTGTCAATCATGATGTGAAACCCCCTTTTTATAGCTTCAAATAACAAATTAAAACCAAACTGATGATAAAAATGAACACTTGAACAAACATCAGCGTGATAAGAACTACCTGAAATGACAGAAACCATCACTGGGAAAAATGGACCACCAGGGGGCGATCAAAATATTATACCTGATGACTGGATTCTGGATCATTAATGTAGTTATTAATAATAATAAAGTAAGATTAGGACAGCACCTCAATTTGACTTTTTTTTCTGGGCAACACGCCCATACTGAGGAAGGGCATCTTCCTAAAATGTTTTTTATTTATTTAAAAAAAAATTCTATTCTATACAGAAAGCATAATAAGGGCAATATCAAATTCCATACCGTTTTATACTGCATAGAAACCCTGCAAAAAAAAAAACTTTGAATTTGAGGGAGGGAGGAGCAGAAATGCTAACTAATTTCTGGGTTATAGCTCTCAATTCATTAAAACTGACTGCTGAGGTTCATATGAGATGGTCTGATCAAAGAAACTCTCTAAAGCTCTCTACAAGTCTCGCACAAGTAGTACCAAAGTCAGGGTTAAATTTCATCACAGATGATTTGTGGACATCTGCAGGTAAAAGCATAACGATAGAGGAGGACTGTGATTAAACATGGAGCCTTCAAAGTTCAAAAGGTTTTGCAGTTATCATGTTATAATCATGATTTTTAACTGTAGACATTTTTTGAGAACCATTAAAAAAAAAAAGAGTTTTACAGAAAATCCTCACGATTGCAGCCTGATTTCATTAATTAAATATAATCAGTTCATTTCAAACTGATCCTTCATCATATGTGATTATGATGAACAGCGCGTTCAGTCTCTTTGTCATTAAAGCCATGTTATATGAAGCCTCCAGCAGGATTCCGTGTACTCTGATTAGCTAATTAAGAAACAGATGGGGCTTGTCAAGATGAACCTGAACAGCTGAATTATGCTTGTGTATATATCTACATTTCACATTTAAAACATTGTATGACACTATTTGCAGAAAATATTTCTCCACAGTGTATCTTTACAAAATCAACTTACCGTTCTTACAGTAGTTTTCTTGTAATTATTAATCCAATCCGTCTATTGCTAATTAAAACCGCTAAAAACACTGAATAAAGCAGTTCCACCTTAAAAATCACTGCTTCTCCCACACTGTTGGGCACACAAAGGACATCCTGGAGGGGCTGCGAGCCGAGCTGCTGCTAACATTAGCTCAGCTTGTTTCTCTGATAACTTAAGATCCAGACGTCGATAACTAAAATCCTTCATCTGGTTCAAATCTTAGAGTTAAAAAGCACCAAGATCTAAACAGTTGGTAAAAATGTGGCTTCAGACTGGATAAAAAGTCAATGTATGACAGCTTCTGGCAGACAACCACAACACTGACGCATGCACAAAGGGGATATGACGCCAATGACAGGCGACCGGTGAAACGCAGCGTTACCTGAATAAAATGACAGATTTCTCTGAGTTTGAACATTGTTGGAAACATTTGGGATAATGGAAGTACACAACTCAACTACAAATAGAACATTGAGGTAGAGTTTATAGATATTTTAATGTGGAGATGTAGCTTCAATACAGTACTTACATGCCATTAAGTACACTAAAGAAATGAAATAATCACATTGTGTGCAACTCAAATCTAAGAGTTGAGGGCCAAAATGTACAAAAGTGCATTCCTGAGTTGAACTTAAAAATATTTTTTTTGTACAGAACAGTTTATTTTGTACCCTATCTCTTACAATAGAAATACTAGAATGTAGAGGAAAATGAAACACCTTTATAGTCACTTATCACAGCTGTTGTACTTTTCTATTACTACTACTATTTTTAAATATGTTTTCCAATTTGAATATTTAGCCGTCTAATACATATTTTACAATTTGTTACCACATCTCTGGTTCTTGATAGCCCTGAATATTAAAGTGCATGCCTCACATTTCAGTGTGGCTGAAACATGGGTACAATGAGTTCATTTAATAGAGCTGTTTGTGTAGCCTTAGGCAGAGGGCCCTGTGTAAAAAAGGCCTACAAACAGAAAAAGCCTACAGCCTAGCATAATATACAGCAGCACCATGCTAGAAGTGAATGTACAAAATATTTTTAGCTTTAAAATGTTAGTGCAAACAACATATTTTGGACTGAATTAGGAGCTGAAATAGGATGACACTTTCTCCTCACTTCTTTTTCCAACTGTTTATCAACTTCCTCACCCCCCCTCCATTTCTCTCTTTCCCTCCACATCTTCTAATTACGCCTTATTCCCCATCCTCCTCCTATCTCTCTTCTTCCTGTCATTTATCACTTGCATGTAATCTCTTCCTTTTTCATGCTCCACTCTTCCTCTGTCCTTAAATCACCTCCTCATCCCCCCATCTCCATCAGTTCATAATCAGCACAGTGGTTGTGGCCTGAGTCACCCCTCCTCAGAGACTCCCAGGCAGATTACAAATCAACTAAACCCTGCGTGTTCATGGTGGACCTAATTTAATTGCACACATGTCCACATCTGCCTTTTGATTCACGTTAGTTTGCTTCAACTCAGTTCATTCAGTTTAGTTCAGTTCAGTTCAATGCACTTTAATTTGATTTACATCAATTAAATTAATTTGAATTAACTTAAATTCAGCTTAGTTACGTTAATTCATTGTATTTCAATTACCTTTGATTCAATGCATTTGAATTGCATTTATTTAAGCTCAATTCAGTTTGATTCCAGCAAATTCAGTTCAGTTAATTTAATTTAAACTCACTTCAATTCAGTTTAATTCAATTTAATTTCTAGTTCAGTGGTGCAAAGAGTACTCAACATCTATACTTAAGTAGTGTTACATTACTGAAATATTACTCAGCTACAAGCAACTGGTGTAAAAGTACAAAGTATTTTATCAAACACTACTCAGAGTATTAGTTACTTTTTAACTATTGATGCTAAAAGTTGAGTGTGTAGAATTTAGAGGCATCTAGCAATGTAGCTGCAACTCCCTTGCTTCACCCTCCCACCCTACTATGAGCGGGGAACACAGGAAACAAGCGAAACATATGAAAGCGCAAATGCCTAGAAACATGGTGGACTCCATGGAAGGCAACCCACGGCATCTGTAGATAAATACGGCTCCTTCTAAGGTAACACAAACAATTCCTGAATTCAGGTGATTATTCACTAATGAAAACATACCTATCAATATTATATTCCATTTTTGCCAATGTTGAGTATTAGTTACTCTTCAACCGTTTAATGCATTATCAATAGCAGGCAGGGGAAATCCATGTAGCAAATATTGACTTTCAAGCTATGAATGGATCTAACTATGACATTTTTTAAACTAAACATTTTTTTGAACCTGCATAGAACTCCTGTAATTACTATAAATTTCTCCCAACGCACTGCAAACAAACAGCCAGGAAAAAATGGAACAGACAGCAAAACTGTATCACTGCAGATCGTAAGTCGGCAACAATTCTTTCTCCAGTGTGTGTCCCTGTGTGTGTCCCTGGTGGCTAAATGCAAAGGTTAACTCAAATGTGGGCCAAATATTACATAATGTTCAAAAGAAATATAGCAGTATATGTATATACATGTTGGTTCTTAATGGTTCATAATAAAAACCCCAAGTCATGGTTTGGATAGAAATTTTTGCTTTTGGCTTCTGAAGTTTGTTTGTGAACACACATGCCACATCCAGCAAATCATCTCCAGTATTAATGTCCATGTGTTTCCTGTAATGATGTGACTATAAATGACTGCAGCATTCCCCTCCACTCTATCCTCCAATCTCATGCCTCATCACTGTCTCTCCCTCCTCTCTGCTGACTGACAGCTCAGAGAGAGAGAGAGAGAGAAAGGAAGCTGGCGTTTTAGGGTATGGATGGGAGGGGGTGGGGTGGATGAGTTGGTAGTTTAGACTCTGATTTGCCGTTGTGGTGTCCTGGAGGCCAGGGAACTGCTGGAGAGTCCGTCCGGTTCCTTCCGTCCTTTACTTAGCCTCAGGTCTCATCAGTGTTGTCGCGGGGAATCTCATTTGTCACACACACACACACACACACACACACAGAATGCAGCTGCAGCTAGAGTGAGAGCTGCCACTTGCAGCAGCAGAGGTGGCGACAGCAGTGGATTGGCTGGGCCTGGTGATTTGTGACGACAGGCTGGTATGACTGGCAGCCACAGTAGCAACAGAGAATCACTACACTTCCTGTTACCAGCACAGGGAGCAGTGACACGACCACAACCACTAACCTAAACCAGGGTTACACTGATATATGGGTCAATACTGGCCTTTTATTGCTAGCTTTTACTGCTAGCATCTAGTGGAGGTTACAGTACTACCACAGAAGAGAGTCACGTTGGAAACAACAACTCACTGTGCTTGAGACAGCCTCTGGGTCTGTGAAGTAACTTAAACCTGCATTCTTTCTAATTCAATTAAATTTTATTTGTATAGCGCCAGTT